CTGAAAGGATGATTTTTTTAGGGTAAAAGCTGCGCCCAACTTACCACAGCGAGTAGCGCAGAAACCCGATGTAATCTACTCAAAAGTTCTAAAAAATATTGTACGACTGCAGTAAAGCGGATGATAATTTTTTTCAATGTTACCAGCTTTGCGAAAGTAGTAGTGCATTCTCTCAATGAACTAGAGCTTGTCGGGACGCAGCTAGCTACAACAGCTGCTCGAGAAGGAGGTTGGCCTAAGACAGCCAACCTCTGGCAGTGACCTCCGGCCGCCAGCACTAGCCGGTGGCCTTCCCCTTCCCCTTCCCCCCTTTTGTACATAACTATTTATAATAAATATTATAGTAAGACTTATGTAAACCCGCTACACATCAGGTAAGGGCGTCATGAACCCTTATACCTGACAAGCTTCGAATAAAAAAGATTCTAGTCCCTGTGTTGGAGACGAAACTATATATGAGATAAAGTTTTGGGGAGACGGCCGTTTTGCATCACAGTGTTCAAAACCTATTCTGCAAGACTTGTCTGGAGCACATCCAATTCTCTCCCGTTTTGCCTGAGGAAAGTTATGATCGACTCACATACATCCGCAATTTTGTTCAAAATGACCAGATGAAACTTGACTTGAGTAGACATCAAAAAATTGTTATGCAATGTTATATTGACAAGGAAGAGACATTGGTTTCTGCGCCACGCCCTCCGAAAAATATTGGGGATAGACGAAATCTTTAAAAAATGAACAGTTTTTTCATATTCTGTTTGGTCGCCTTCAAACTTAAAGTTCTTAGCTTGTATATTCTTTATGGTTGCAAGGCAAAATAATAGTCGTTAGAAATACGAAAGAAGAGCAAAAAGTAAAGGAACAGCGAAATGAACGAAAAGACTATTCAGAAGAACGACTAACGATTCACTTTGCTTCATTTTCTGCTTACAAAGGCTTGCTTGCTAATGCTAAGCAGTGTTTTGTGGGTGTGCAATTTCAACTTTACAATTCTTTTCCTGAATTTTCCATTTGTTTTCCACCATCTTAAATCTTCTCCTTGTCCCTAGGTGATAAAATCGAAACAAGAGCGAAAAAACGATCGACAAAGCGTTCCGCGACGACTTAATAGCTCTGTAAAAGCCGCGAGCGATAAAGAAGAGCAGTAAAAGATCAAGATCCGTTCCTTTTCAAAAACAGGAACATAAAATCGCAACATTGCTAAGGAGCTAAAGACCGTCCATTTTTCTCGTACACAATCAGAGGAATGGGAACGAGGCTTTTTCTTGTCTGGAAACTACTGAGTGTTATGAGTTCAAAGTTGCTTGAACACCTCAATTTTTTTCAATTTACTAAATTCCGAGAAATAGCCTCAGGGCAGGTCTTTAAGCACATTTTGCATGATCAGAATGTACAGGAAATATTCATTAAAGAGACTACCTACCTTTGTGACTAATCTCAAGCCTTAGAGACAGTGGCTCGGGAAAAGTGCGAGTACGAGCCCACCTACATTGCCTTCTGGATCCGTTGAGCCCGAGGCTGTACTTGAAAAACCAAAAAGTGCTTGGCGTTTTCCGGCCTTGGAGATAGCTGAAGAGGTTGGGCGGGAGATTCTCGCCAAAAATAGCGATTGGCTGCAGGATTGTAATCCTACCCATTTTAACGGCGATTGGCTGATCAGCTCAAGCAGCCAATTGCAACTCAGTTGGCGATCGCTCGCCCATCCCCTTCAGTAATCTCCAAGGCCGAAAACTGCCATGAAAAGCACTTTTTCAACTTTTCAATCACAACCCTGCACTCAGCGCATCCAGATGGCCAAGGGGGGATGGAGAGCTCAAAATTGCAATTTTCGCGAGCCGATGCCTTTGGACTTCAGACATGGGGAATGTGCTAGATTGAACATGTTGTTTGTTTTTGATGCTCTACCCGTTTTTGAAGTTCAAGGTCGACGCAGGTGGCTTACAAGCAAGCTGGATATCGTTTTTGCAAAAAGCAAAGGGGGTTTCGTTTTTGTGGCCGAAAAGAAGACACCAAAATTTGCGATGTTTTTTTTAGTGGACGTTTCGTTTTTTGGAGTTTTTTTAAGAGATTATGGTCTAGGGTCAAAAGGGACTTCGTAAAAATTCGCAAAAGTCAAGAGGAATTTCGTTTTTTTTTGCATTTTCTAGCCATCTCGTGCCGAGCCCCGGTTCAAATTCAAAGTACTATAACTCGTTTTAGAAACTTACTTTTTGAGCGCAATAACCTGTGTTATGACTAAAAAATTTTCAGCGATTTTACGCATATTCAAGATTTATTGCGCAATCAAAAATGATTTTCTAGGCATAACTCGCCGAACATCTTCTTTTAGGAGTCTCTACTTTGAGAGACAATAACTTGAGTAATAGAACTGCATGCTCCGCTCACTAAGCAGTTGATAGTCGAAAAGTATTGGTAACATTGTTCGTTGAATAACAATTTCTTGCAAAAAAAATGTTTGAAATTTTGATTTAGTTTGCTTCTGAAAAAATTTACTCAATTTCGAGTATAATGTAGTAGAAATAATCCTGTTGAAGGGACCAAAAATTCCGCGGTTGCACTGCGCTTACAATTTTTATACGACTGATACGGTCCATAAAGGCAGGTATGTTTATAATGAATATTTGAGTATTCAAAATTTTTCTAAAATTCTATCCAAATTTGCTTTCCGTAGCACCAATGCATAACAAACTTAACACATGTTTCGAAAAAGATTTCCTTCTTTGCCCGTCGATTTCACGGTAACAGAGGAAACCGGAAGGTTTACACATTCGTTTTGCTGTCTTTTCAAGGTACGGACGCAGAATGAACAACGCTCCATGGGAAAGAAAGCCATACATAGAATTTAGAAAACCATAAAAAATGTTCTTCCTCCAAAATCAAAATTTTAAAAAAATGTACAAAGAACGAGTAGAGCTTTTGAAGCAGCCAATAGTGTGAGTTGAACACAACGGCAGAAAGCATGGTAAATATAGAAGGAAAAAGAAAATTTTCAAAGCTGATAAATTAATCCAAGCATAACTCGAAATTCTGGTTAGTAATCTAATTGTAAGGCATCCTGATATAGAGGACGTATCTGCAACTGTATCTTCTAAAAAAGAAAAGAATTATGAGTTTTATGCAATTTTGAATGCGAAAACGAGAGGTTTAAAACAAAGCTTTTTGGAAAGTCAGTGAAAATTTGCTCTGAAAAGCATTGCATAAAAGTGAGGAGAGCTATAATACTCATATGGAACAGCTTGACTCATCACTTTGAGAAACTGAAAAACTGGTTTGAACCACCACCGGTCACGGTTTCGCTTTTTGGAAACCTCGTCTCAAATGTATGCACCCACACATTATGAATCTTAAATGCTCTGTTCAAGGTATTTCGGCAGGATGATCCAAAGACAAAAAAATAGGCTTGAGCATCATTTTCCTTGGGTGTATGTCAAGAGGCGCGATTTTTATTGCCAGTTGGATACCGAATAACACATAATAAGTGTTTTATAACACTCTAGAAGTACTCAAACTTAGAAGGAGATATATTAGGTAATTGCATGAGTTGCTCAACTTGCTAACTTGGAATCAATTCAAAACAGCAATTTTGAAGGTCAAAAACTCATGAAAATGCGTTTCAGAACAAATTTGTAGGTAATCCAGTCCGATCTATAGCAAAAACCATGAAACTCAGCAAGTGATGACCTCAGGCAGATAGTAAGCTAATGCACTTCATCCGATAATTTTTTTAAAGACTCGCATAGCACTAAACTGGAGTTTCAAGTTGGCGACAGCCGGAGAAATCGCGCCTCTTGATCGTCTCCCATTTTCCTTGCCTCTTATTCATATTTTTTGCATGTTAATAATGCTCCAAACTCATATTTGCTATCTTATCATAATTAAATCTCAATCTCACGAAAAACTGCCTTTTGCCGCTGGTCATAGCGGCGCTCCTCTGATTGGTCACCATATGGACGCGATTGGCCAGGTTTGAACACGGCGGAGCGAAGGCGTGACGAGCTTGCGCGCAAGCATACTCGTTCATTCAGGTTTACATCTAGCGTATCTAATACGAGCACAACAGTGGCGGACCGAGGGGGGGGGGCGGGGGGGGGGCGCGCGCCCCCCCCCGAGAATGGGTCGCGAAATTTTTGAAACTTACCTATATGGGTTGTAAAAATGTGCAAACGACTTGTTTGCACTGGAAAATAATTAAAATAATTTTTAAAATTTTTTAAAAATTCATTTTAGCCTTATAAAAAAATTTTTTTCGGGGGCGTGGCTGACGCCACGCCCCCTTTTTTCAGACTTTAGGGGTCGGGAACCCGCAAAAATTTTGAGAAGCACCCCAAAAATTTTTTCGGAGTGCGTGGCTAACGCCACGCACCTTCCTTAGAAAAAAATTTTTTTCGCGCCCCCCCCCGAAAAAAATTTCTCGGACCGCCACTGGAGCACAAGTATGACACAAATCTATGACGCTTTTCAAACCATGCTGCTTTTCCTATGAGCAGGTGATGTAACTGGTCCACTTTCTTTTACACCGCCGCAAGCGACTAAAAGGGCATAGCGCATGAACGGCTCAAAAAGGCCTACAACCCGGTCTCCCTCTGTAAAAAAAAATAGGAAACGCTAGCAGGTGGTATGATGCATTCGATGAGACAGTAGATGAAGTGAAGATAAAATAACACAAGAGCGAAGTTTAGGAGATTGCATGAATTGCTTAAAACATGAAGATGAATACGATTCCATAAATCAAAAAGACCGGCATTTGACGTCGCGATACATAATGTCGGCTTTAGCAACTACTAGGACAATCCATCAATGAAGGATAGGAATAGCACAATCAGCGGTGATGCGCTGGTTTGTTCGGAAAAATCGTAAATGGAATGAGAGATGAGAAAAACTTGCCAAGCAGAGGATTACAAAAAGATATGCTCCCAAAAACAGCAGGAGAATAAGAAAAACAATTCAATCAATAGGTGAATAGGTCAACAAATCATTAAGGTAAAAAAAATCAAGCTTACCTCATTTTCGGGTGACTGCTGTTCAAACATTGGCTCCTTCATCGTTGGCGAACGATCTGGAAAGAAAAACTTACAATTAGCTGACCTCTACTCTATGAAACGCACAGCAAGAAAAAATGATAGCGAAACAATCTTCATACGAAGGGAAAGGATGGGAAAATTGAGTATCGTTGTTGAAAGGAATAGAAAACATTTTTAGTTGATTAGCTAATTTCTTGCATGGCGCAAAGAATAAGGAAACAAGCAATGAAGCGCATAAAAACTTGAAGAGATATGAACTTTATTGCTAAAAAAGAAACGTTGCAAACAATGCAAACGATCCGCTCGGGTCACGAAGCTAACCCGTGAGAAGCCGATAGTTTTCTGCTGATAAGAATACGTTCAGACGGCACAAGATGTTTCTTTGAGATGCCATTTGTTTGATAAATTGCAAGTCAATGAGAAGAATAGAAAAATCTTTGAAGATAGGCTAAACTCTAGCAGCTGCAAATAGTGTATGAAGAATTGAACAATAGAGGAAGACTGATGAGAATGGAGCAAAAATTCGAGATATGAGTACTTTACTTGAATCTAGTCGTCGATGAAGATAGTAGAAAACTCTGAGAAGACAAGCTGTAGCCTCTGATAGGTATTGAAAATTTCCGAGAATTGGGAAATAGTAAGCATCAACACTTTTTGCAGATTTATGGGGTGTATGTCAAGAGGCGCGATTTTTATTGCCAGATGGACACCAAGTAGCACATAATAAGTGTTTTATGACTTTCTAAAAGTATCTAAAAGGAGATGTATTAGATAATCGAATGGATTGTTCAGTCTTATTACCTTTAAATTGGTTCAAAACAGCAATTATGAAGGTCAAAAACCCATGAAAATGCAGTAAAGAACAAAATCGTAAATATTTTGGTCCATTTCTCAACAAAAGCCACCAAACTCAAAAATCGCGCCCCTTGACCGTCTCCCAGATTTATGTATGCGCACATATTATGATAAATTCACTTTTAATCATAAAATGCTTCTCAAAATAGCGCATCCTCGAAAATTCATGTATTTATTTATTTTTTACAATAAAAAAATTTTGTTGAGAATAAAGCAAAAATCTGAGAATTATATGAGGACAATACTTGAATCTAGCGATAATCATAGTAGACAACTCTGAGAAATTATGAGATTTTGCCGTTTTTTGATTTAGCGCAGATTTTTGATTTTTCGTGAAAAAAGTAATATTTGTATACAATGATGATTTGGAGTACAGCTTTTTTTATTAAGCAAGCTCAAAAATTTGACAGCTTCGAGTAAATAATGACGACAGTTGTAAAATTTTAAGGATAGATGAGAAAAAGTTGCTATTGCGATGGAATTGAAGAGAGGAACAAAAAGTCGAATGAAGCAATATACGTTCTGAAAACTTTTTGTGTCAACAGTCAAAGCGTATGAAACTACGAGCAACATTCAGTTGATGAATCAAAACTTTGACATGAACCTACTTGAAACATTTCGTAGCTTTGCGAATTACAAAGAAAAACTTTGTGAAACATCAAACAACGTTTATAGCACTTTCTTCGAAATCGTAAGAGCCGTTAACGAGCAGTTTAAGACAGATAGCAACGAACAAATGCGCTGCTACCCTGCCATACGAAAAAAAGGAGAATTTCGCGATAAACTGTCGAAGTGCTAAGAGAAACGAAATGGTGGCAACATCGGTGTCATATGATGCACAGTCAGCTGTGTTCAAGAGAAAAGCTAGTGATTCATCTTTTTCATACAAAAAACTTTTGGAACGTGCAAATGAGACGTTTTAAGATGTTTGAGGTGATATAGGAAGCAGAACCCCAAACGATCAACGCCGCTAAAATATTCAAGATGCTTTTTTTCTAAACTTTGTATAATTAATTGGGATGTGTCAACTCATTCCAAAATTCCAATTTCCCCTTTGAAAAAGCGACTCGAGTGACAAGGCTCTTTAGTTACATGTAAAAATGTGGGGGTATAGCTCAGGGGTAGAGCGCTCGCTTCGCATGCGAGAAGTCTGGGGTTCAATTCCCCATACCTCCAAATCTTTTGCGGATAAAAAGCGTTCGTACAGGAAATTGTCTCTCTGCTTACTTTCAATACAAAAGATGTAAAAGTAGATCATCCTGGACGAACGCTTTTTATCCGCAAAAAATTTGGAGGTATGGGAAATTGAACCCCAGACTTCTCGCATGCGAAGCGAGCGCTCTACCCCTGAGCTATACCCCACCTTTTGATATGTAAAAAGACAATAATGATAAATTGATAAAAAGCGTTCGACCAGGATATTGTCTCTTTGCTTATTTTCAATGCAAAAGATGCAAAAGTAGATCAATAAGTCATCTAGTTATCTGCCACAGATAGCGATCAAATTGTTTTTGGACATCTCCCCCATATGGGCTCAGAGTTCATATGAGTTACAAGTCGTATCGTGGAGGATGAGGTAATGCCAAACCAGCACAAATTCTTGTGTCTCATCCATCGCGAGTATTTTCCTGTACTTTTTCACAGAATAGGTTCAGTTCGAAATGTTCTACATTGTAAATTGGAGTTGGAAATCATAATCACTGGAACCACGATAAGTTAGGTAAATCTCATTTCCTCTATGCCTTTGAAAGAGGCTTTTTCATTTCTAAAGAGAATAATCGTGGCTGATCGGGAACATAAGTTTTGGCGATATCTGAAGAAGTTCCCTAATCATATGATCTCTACGTGGGCAACAGATAATTGGCGAATAAAAAGGCTTTCATTGTCGGAAATTTTTTGTTCGCATCCGTGCACCGCGGATAGGCTCACCGGCAGGTTTAGTTGAGCAGATAATCAAATAACACTTTTGTCTCTAATTATATTATCCTCTTCCATGCTCCAGAAAAAAATCTGGTCTAGCCAACTTCTTCATCAACTCTTCTTCATCCTAAGTGAATAAAGCAAAGGATCTAAGGCTAACATTTTGTAACAGCACACCTGCCTGTGATAAAAAATCATGACAATCTGTGTTTTCAATATCTCCAAATTATAGCTGAGACTAGCGCCAAATTTTCCTCAGTTATAGCAATGAAGAGAAGTTGGTACAGGACATGGTTGAAAAATAATTGGGAGATCACAAGTGGCATGCTCTAAAAAGTAGGTACATGCAAAAACTAAAGAAATTGAAGCTAGTGTATTTATAGTGGTAAATGGTCATCAGACACAGTTCCTTTAATATTGAAAGGACGGGGGAGGGCAGAAGAAAGAGGAAGGGACAGTAAATAAAGGTGTAAATGAATGGAGCCAGTTACAATTGCTGCGGTAATTTTGAGAAGAAGAGGAATGAAAAAAAAACGAAACTCTAATTAAGAAAAAAAATTGAAATCGAGACTTAGAAAAATAATGAGCATATATCAGTATATGTACATCTTTGGTTAGATACAGAAACATCTAGTTTCGAACATTAGAATCAAAGGTTTCTTGAATTTGAACCACTGGCGCAATTCTTGTCAGTCGAACCCAATATTTTGTGGATAATTATTCCGAAAACAATTTTCAGTAATGTTTAAGAAGGAGGAGAAGAGCTCTAGCAGAGAATCGAACGGTTAGTAAAGTAAGAAATGCCCAAAATGATTTATTTCTATATCTATTGGTCCAATCTACAGGAACTTCAAAGAGTCAGACGATGCTTAATGAAAGGACTTTTTACGTCCAGCTAAGTAAGAACTGCGAATGCGAGATGAGTATGCGATTTTTAGACAAAACAAATTTACCCAAACTTATCAGAAAAACCCGCAGACTGTACATTCCCATCTTTTGAAGCTCCACCGAGAGCCCAGTCGAGCCCCATGTTTGCTCAGAAGTGCACTTGCCGGACAATGTGATTGAAGGAAGCGGATGTTAAACTTAGAGCGACGAGCCGTTTTTCGCCCAACGGACTGTTTGTCCACACGGCCACGGTGACGAACACGAGCGCCTAATCCGCCCGCGCGCTCGTCGGCGCGGCGGTGATAACAGCCAGCTGATGCGCGGCGCGACCTTGGCAGAGGTGATAAAGCGATAAGCGATCGCTGGCTGATCCGCTGACAGCTAGCTAATGCGAGTGGACAGCGAGCGGCCTAGATAAGGTTACGTAGGAGAAGTGTAACCATTCCTGTCTTGCAAATTACAGAAAAAAATGCTCCAATAACATGGACTGGAACTGAATATCGAATTAGGCTAGACTTGTTTTTACAGAGTCCCACAAAATCTTCAAGCCTGTACTTTCTCAGCCAAACCGGAGCGAAGCAACCTAGACGGACGAAATTTTTGTATCTACACCTTATTTATACAGCTCAAAACATCTATGTAAACTTAGCGCTCGAATTGTACTTATTCCAGTGGCCCTTAATAAGGTCAGCATAACCTTGAGAAAATGCACCATCATGGCAGAACCGTCTACGAAAAAGTGAAGGGGTTCCATGCGACAGATAAAAACACGCCAAATTGCTTGCTTCCCCAAAAATTTAGCAAAATGGTCAAAATATTGCGATCAACTTCTTCGAAACTCTCCGAGCATTTGGAGTCATATTCTCAAAGCGTGGATGGGATGTAAAGAAGGCAGAAGTGGTGGAGGAATGACAGACAAGAAGAAACCTTCACGTACTCAAATTTCGATGTTGTGTAATTGTAACGGAAATTTTACTAAATCGCGACGGAATCAGGCTCAACGGAGGTGGCGATTTCACACGCTGGAAATCGTTTTTCCAGGGAAAAGCAAAGGGGAACCCGTAAAACCACTCGAAAACACGACAAATATGAGAAAACACAACACTAATTCTTAGCAAGCCCGAACTTGAAAGTCGAATGTAATTTTACCAATTACAGGTGAATTAACGCGTTAAAAAGACGACTAGAGACTTGTGTGCACATGATTTCAACTTGTCGAAACACAATCATTACGCGCAAAAATATAAACGATTGGTTTATTTACAGCGAGTAAGCAATATTAAGCCATAAAATTTGGTGTGACATCCGCGGCGATGATCGAAAGAAAAGTGAAAATTTATCAAAAATTATGTGAACAAAGGGAGTTGTAAATTT